AAAAATATTAAAAATAAAATGTTAACAAGCCACAATAACATTGACAACGAATCATATATTTACATAATTTCTCACTCTTCATTTTAGTTGCGTTCCAGATGCTTCACGAAATTCACGATTTGCATATTTTGAGTACGTCAATTAAAATGTATCAAAATATTTCACAAGGCGAATACATATAAGGTGGTATCGATTCAACAAATACAACAATTACTTGTATTTTGTTTTTGCTTTTAGCGGGCCATTGTCGAATTTCAGCTATTCTTCGCCGAAGGAAAAAGGGCGACAGAAAATACAAACACTCTCACGTTCTCACTCACTCACTAGCGAAATATAAAATTTTGACAATCAAACGCTACTCACAGCTGATGAAACAACACCACCTTATATAAATTCGCCTTGATATTTCACTGCTTACAAAATTGTAATGAAAACTAGATTTGTGTGTACAAATACGGTCGGCAAATAATCTGGTTAACACTGCGCGCACACTGCAGCCGGCATCGGCCGATATCGGCTATATGCGAGCGATATGAATAAACACTTGTGATTATACGAGCGCTCTCACACATAAACCGATAACCGAACCGACATCGGCCGTTGACGTCCGTCAGTGACGATAAATTTTTTTATTTATTTATTTATTACAGTCTTTTAGACTTATATTGCAACAAAGATTTAACATTCTTATAATTAGATTTTAGATTTAAAATGTAAATATTAAATATTAAATACAAAATACAAAATGCTCTACAGAAATTTTTAAATAACATTATTTCTTTATCACTGCAATTATTTTATGTCAATATAAACGCATGCAATTTTCTGGAAGTTATGTAGACGGTTGGAAAGGCCGAGTTTCCAATCCGCGCTATACTTTTTGGGTTACTCCATTTATTGATATCTCCTGGGTGGTCAAAAAGGCCGAGTTTCCGATCCACCCAGTCGCGCTTTCGTGACGGTTGACGGTTGGAAAGGCCTAGTTTCCAATCCGCTCGTTTATTGTTTATTATCTAAGGGTTTAGGTAGTCGGAAAGGCCGAGTTTCCGATCCGCCTAGTCTCGATATCTTGGTGGTTGGAAAGGCCTAGTTTCCAATCCACGCTATTGTTGATACATCACTATCTTGTAGGCTGCGTTCTACAATAGTCAAATAGCAGCCGCTTGAAAAGAGTGATAGTATCACAATTTTTTATAGCCTCTGGTAACACTGGACCACAAATTTCAACTTTTTCTCTTTACCAGAAACGCCGTTATGAAATTCTTATGTAAAATCACCCCCTGATTCCGAAAATCAAGG